CACTTACGATTAATTTTACCAAAAATGTAGTTAATAACTTTTTACCCTGTATGTCTAACATGAAACTTAGTTCAAAACCTGAAAGAGCAATCATGTTTCCATTAATTGTGTATTCTTGTTTCATTTCGGTATCTCGATCCGTTTTCGAGAAAAATCGATTTAACGAACACTATGTTTTGATAATACGAGAAATTAAAAGCGAAACAAACCAAGTGTTTCTTCGTGTTATTACAACAATTAACAATAAAACAAATGAAATTCGTAATAATGATTTAAAGTCAGTGTTCGAAGAATCCACCGTTGACATTTACACACTTTACACAACGTTTTCTGAGAGATCTTCGAGTTTGAAACAACATATTGGGATTGCGTTTGACTTCGTTGGCAGCGATTTGTATTCTTTGCCACAACTCTTCACACGAACCAATAGATTCTTCCAAATAGAAAAATGAAGAGGATTGAAGTCCGGACTTCTGGGTGGCCAAGTAAAAATGCTTCCACGGCTTGAAGAAGTTCCACTTTATTTAAGAAGAGACATGTGGTTCATGCACGACGGAGCTCCACCGCATTTTTCTTGGCCAGTGCGTGCATATTTAGATGCAGTTTTTCCAAATCGCTGGATTGGCCATGTAAGCATTTTTGCTTGGCCATCCAGAAGTCCGGACTTCAATCCTCTTGATTTTTCTATTTGGTCTCGAATGAAAGATATAGTTTACAAAGAATCTATTGGCTCGTGTGAAGAGTTGTGGCAAAGAATACAAATCGCTGCCAACGAAGTCAGACGCAATCCCAATATGTTGTTTCAAACTCGAAGATCTCTCAGAAAACGTGTAAAGTGTATCAGTGTCAACGGTGGATTCTTCGAACAATTACTTTAAATCATAATTACGTATTTTATTTGTTTTATTGTTAATTGTTGTAATAACACGAAGAAACACTTGGTTTGTTTCGCTTTTAATTTCTCATATTATCAAAACATAGTGTTCGTTAAATCGATTTTTCTCGAAAACGGATCGAGATACCGAAATGAAACAAGAGTACATAATTAATGGAAAAATGATAGCTCTTTCAGGTTTTGAATCAAGTTTCATGTTAAATATACAGGGTAAAAAGTTATTAACTAAATTTTCGGTAAAATTGGTCGTAAGTGGTGCCCTCTATGAGCAATGCTGAAATTACAACACGCATCTTATTCGTCGCCTAAAAAATATAGTTTCACAAATTTTCAAGTTCTTAACCTATATATTTTCAGAATAATCGCAAAAAAAACGATTTAAAATTTTAACTTTCCACACCCTGTATTTCCGAAACTATTAACTTTCGGATAAGGCATGTTTGCACCAATGGTCACCATTTCACGTGTAGTATCTTCAGCTTTCGACTTTCCCATTGTTAATGAATCACCCTGTATAATATTATTATATTAATTTCTTACGAAACAGTCCTCCATATTATAAAATATGGAAGAAAAAACATTTGTTTGTTATAGCTGTTTTTTAGGTTAGCTTTAGGAAATTTTCTTCTAATTTAGGAGCAGTATTTAGAATTGAATTCTGCTTTTTAGGAGTATAAACTAGTTTTTTATTTAATAGAATCAAGTAAGTTTTTACAGCTCAGGATTTGCACGCTCCAGGGGAGACCTTATTTGGAACCCATAGAACTGAGAAAAGTGTCAGTAAGGAAGCTTTTGGACTTTGTCAAAAGGACAAAATTACTTGCTGAATAGGACTTATTACCACTAGGAAAGAAGAAAAAGAAGTTTTTACATATTTTAGAAGATCTCTTTCTTACGATTACGAAAACAAAAGTAAATTAAACAATACCCTGAATACTAGGTATATTCATACATAACACATCATCCCATTAATTGAAATGGGATTTTAACTACAATGTTAGGAATTCTAAATTCATTGAAAATTGGAAAAAATCTGTGGTATAGAACTACTACCTTTAGTAAAATGCAAAATTTATGTCACAATTGTTTCCACATTTTCATGAAAAAAACTGTGTATGATTGAAATTGCCACTTTTGCTAAATATTCGTTAAATGGGAATTTTTTTTTTCGCCAAAATAAATATTTTTCATAAAAAAATGTTAAATTGAATTAAAATAAAATAATAAAAAAGATAAAAAAAGGATTAATTTTTTTTATATTTTTTTACAATATTCACAATGCTAACACAATCATAAAAAAATCCTCTTTTTGGACAGCAGTTTTCACCTTGTGATTAAATGTCAATTATTGAAAAATTAATTGCAAAAAGTTGTATACGTCCTACCCAACCGCTGTAAAAAACAATTTTTTGTCAGAACTAACCCAAAAACGTTTAGCGAAAGTGACAATTTTAACTATTCGGATTACAATGAAAGAAAAATCGCAGCGGTTTGACCTATTCAGTTTCTTTGGAATACCTAGGTTAAAAAAAAAAACGAAAATATCCTTAATCTCTTCATTATTTGTAGAGTAATCTCAAGTTTAGGGAAAATCCTTAAATACGCATTTTGTTATCTTTTTTTAAATCAAGTTACTTGCATAAAAAAAATGTTACCAAAAAATGATCACAACGTCTTATAGTTGTGAAGTTTTCAAAATCATGTTTAGATTTTTCATACGATCATTAGTAAATTATCAAAGCCAAAAAGTAATTTCTGCATTGAAAATTAAATTAAAGAGGATGAATCAAGGTAAAAGAAAGTGATTGGTGGAATTGCCAAAAAAAATTATTGATGCCCATGGAACTTTTGAAAAGGAAGCAAAAATTTTGATATTTCTTTTGCCGTATAAGTAATAGTAGTGGTAGGTAGGCATGTGATGATGGTTGCAGTAACAAATATACAGCGACTATTTCTGCATTACTATACAGGGTGTAACTATAAGTGGGGGTCAGTTTTTTAAGGATAATAGTACGTGTTCCCCTATAGTAGGATCATATTCGATGCAAAGTAATAAATCATTGCCTGTCAAGGGAACCAATGAAGTACGCTTTTAAGGGTTTTACAAGTTGAATAATTTCTTATACATTATGAAGGGACGAGGGGATCAGTTCAGGTCTGGCACCTTTGTTCCTACAAAAATTCCTTTATTCTCATAAACTATTTATTTTAAATGTAATTTATTATAAATCCAATTTGTTTCCTAAATTCCACATATGTACTACATTTTACCTCTGTACGCGCCACTGTTGTTTACTTGTTTTTTGGAAGCGTTCTCTAATTGACGGTAAAGCTCGCCAGGTTAGTATTTGACGTATAACCGACCAGTTCGTATACTCGATGCACCTGGGCGACTACAGCTACTACCAGAACACAGTGCGTATGCAGCGGTATTTCAGATTTTGCATTGAATTTCATTTTAAATTCGAAATGACTTATCGTACGCCTCCTAAAAATGATGACACGATTTTCCTTGATAAAAGACCGACAACTTTTTGCTCTACTTTGCATCGAATACGATCCTATTATAAATACAAATCAGAAATTAAAATTAATAATTAGTTTTTTGCACTTTAATACTTGTGTATGCCACCATTCTAATCATGATTCACACAAATGAACACATGTATCACAAAAATATATGAATTGTAGGCAACCTACAATGCATGTGAAGAAATTGTGCAAGCGCTCCGTTATTTGAGGTTACACTAACTTCTCCAGCGGCGGGGTAAGAAAATTACTTAAAAAAGATTAAAAAAAAAATAAGTTTTTACGACGGAATTAATTAACATAACGTGATACTCGATTAGGCGGACATTTATTTATTCTCTCATGAACACCTACTTATAAAAATTTGAGAGCAAATTATTAATACTTTTTTTTATTCAGAGCAACAAAATGCTCGTATAGATGTAATTTTTAATAATAAAGTTAGCAAAAATTGTTAACTAATCATATTATTGATACATTGTGTATTGTATAAATAGGTACATACATTTTTCTATTCATATACTGTAACAAAAGTCAAGAATACGTATGTTAAGTGAACGTTTCGCGAAAAACCCTAAGACGGGTCGATTTTTGAGATATCTTTTTTAAAGCTTTTGTTAAGTTTACATTCAGTTGTTTCGAGTTATGACGCAATAACCAGTCTTTTTAAACCTATCTCCAATTTTTTTCACCAAATTTCTATAGAGCTTAGTTTGAGTATACTGATAGCTCACATAGAGATATATTACTTATTTTGAAATTATGGAGTGATTTTTAACAGACTTTCGAAAAAGATAAGCATATTTTTACATCTGGCAGAAGAGTGTAATTACAGAGATATTCAAATTATTACAAAAAAATCGAATATTTTTTTTTATTTTAACACCCTTGAGAACGAAAAGAAGGAATATTCGAATGAAACATTATTCAGTTCAATTCTTTCTTCCTTTAAGATCTGTACCAATATTAATATATCACCCTGTATATAAGTAAAAAATCAGCACTTCAGACTTTTGATGAAATACCTACGTTTTTTCGTTCCCACTCACTGCTAAGCTGACTCACGAAGAAACGGCATTTTTATTTTGCAAAATAGTAGTGTATGCACATGCGGAAAACTCTTTTGTTTTTCATTTTGTCAAAAACGTCATTCCCATTTAAAAATTCTGCTTGTGTTCAAGTGTACAAAAATGTAGTTTTTTTAATACAACGAACATTTATTAAAAGATCGACTTTTTTTCTTAAATTGAAAAATAAAAAATTTTCCCTCTTTCCAACTTCATCCGTAGACAAACTGTATACTGTTTTAAACTTTATGACAAGCTAAGTTATCGGTATTTTTTTACCTATGTATTTATTTTCCATTTAATTTTTTCTCATATTTATTTGCAGATCTACTCTTTGTAAGTATTTACGTACTATCCTCTTAGTTGTTCATAGTAGGTATTTAACATCCTGTGTGTTAACATGTTTCTATTTTCAGTTCTCCTTTTTAAAGGGAAAATTCAAAAACGTAGTATCAAGGATTTTCAGTAATTTCAGACTGGCATTATACCAAAAACAATTTTAATGGTGAATTTTTTATAATCTTAATGTAGAACATTAATATCTATAGATGATCAGATGTACCTAACAAACAAAAAAAATAATATGATCATCATAATACCATTTTGTAAATACAGAGCCTTCATAAATGATTACAAGCCACGTTACCAGTACTTTTGTTTGGAACAGTAATTTTATCTCCTTAATGATGTCAATTAAATTTCGGTAAAATAAAAAAATCATTAAAACAATAAGATCAAGATTTTGTTCCGACTGTGATTGGTGTATATTTTCACGAGGTTCTATTCAATCAATCGGCGCGGCGCGGCGCCGGCGGTCGCATTATCTCGATCGAACGTAGGCGTAATGATTTGTTACTGTTCACTGTAAACGAATCATTAATATTGGTGACGCCAATATTTAGGGATTTTTCGTTACCAGAATTAGTCAAGCACCGTTGGTTTGCTAAGCTCGGGGGTCACGTGGACTGTAAACATTTATAAAGGCTCCATACGAAATCTAAAAGAATTTCTTGGTTCCTACATTTTTGAGAATTTCGAAAATTATTTATATTTTACTACTAATATTATTTACTATTATAACATCATAATATGTATGCCTAATTTTGTACTAACTGCCACGTGTATACATTATGTCATTTGTTTATTTAAAATAAATTTGTATACCACATTCATGTTCGAAAATATTTTTTAAATAATATACATATTCATTTTCTGCATTTCATTTCTTTATAACATAAGTAGATATATCATTTAGATATGCCATTATAAGGAAAGTATAAAAAATAAACTTTCTCAAAATTAGAATTATCGCTTACTCAGTCCTAAAGTTTAACGCACAGCTCCTCCAGTAAGTGGATACGTATACTTATCACTTATCTCTGTTGTTGGCAAACTTTGTAAAAAAATACTTTCTATTAATTATTATTAACTTAGATATGTAATTTCAGACTATTCTCTTCTTTTACGCATCAGGTAGCCACGTCTTTAGAGGTAGCTTACTAAAAGCTTTATTTAGTAAGCTTTTGAAATGCTTTGCTATAGCTGAACTGGCTGCAGGTTTCATTTCTGTTATGATTTCTTGATAGTTATTATTCAGAAACTGGTTCATGGCTCGACCTAAAAAATATAAATAAGTAGTTAAATATAATAAATACAAAAACTATTATTGTAGTTAGGTACCTACTCAATAAATTTATATGTAACCCAAAAGAGAGCCTTAGACAAAGGAAAGGTAATACGGACATAGGACTAGAGAAAAATTTGCCCGCCCCCGGCAAATTTATACAGGATGTTGTTGTTTAAGACCCCCTCAATGTTTTAAGAAAAAAATAATTATTATATTCATACAAAGACAAAAAGTCCCCTAGATCGAATTATTTGTTAAGGTTCTTGTACACGTTTGACCAACTAGTTGGGCCAATGGGTTAAGCCAACGTGTACTAGACCACTTGGCGTAATTTGCTCGTTGGCGGCCAGCATTGGCTGGCCAGCCGAATGTTGTCGGTTTTTTGTGCACACATCAAAAGACATTGGTCCAATCCGCCAACAGCGTTCACACGTTGGCCTCTTCTTCATTACGTAGTTGCCGTTTAAGCGGAAAGGGATGTAATGAACCTTTTTTTTATTTTCGGGATTTCATTTATATTTTAGTAATGAACTTATTTTATTTTGCTCCCGCTGTATTATAATTGTTTGGCGCACCGCGATTTTGCACACGGCCCACGAAGTCGCCGTTTCAACGGCTGAAGTTGCACACGGCACTACCAGCCGTTCTGTATAAAAGCAACGGAGTCACCTACACCAGGCAGTGCTTAGTAGGTCTTTCCACGGCACTCAACCCTCCTCTGGGTGTCCTAACCAGAGCGTTTAGCAGGTCTCTTCCGCGGCGCTCAAGGTAAGGTACACACCTGGACTCCGACTCCGGGTACTTAGCAGGTCTTTCCGCGGTACCTGACGTCTACCTCGCGGCCGACTCCGGGTGTTTAGCAGGTCTTTCCGCGACACTCGGCGTTGTCACCGTCAGGACATCCGTATTGCCTTCGTGACAATAGGTATCCCGATGTTTTTGTTATTTATATGGGTAGGGTATTATTGTTAATATTATATGTGTTTNCATTTTAAAAAAAGCCCTGTATTATTCTCGGGATTAATTGTAATAAAACGAGCAGCATCAACTAGTTTGCTTTATTTCAAAACTTCTCTGAAGCTTACATAGGCATGCCATATGACATCTCCTACATGCCATGCGACTGACCATGGGCCCCTAGATTGCTAGTATAACTAAGACTATAGACTAAGCAACCATACTTATATTACATCTCCCCTTCTTATAAATCAAGTTTGTTTGGTTTCTTAATAATACGACCAGATCTAGTCATTCTCTCTTGTCTACTGGTGAGACACTAATACTGTTATCAGGCGTACAACTTTGATTTCGTTGACTAGAAATCTCTGATGACTGATCTGTTTCAAGTTCACAATCAGCAGTATTAAGGCTACTTTCACACTTGTCACTATTGTGAGGATCATTTTCATAAGAAGTCACTTGATACTTATTCGATGACTCTTTAAGGTCTATACGATTACAACGAATTAAATTTCCTTGATTATCTTTCAAAATATATGATCTTGGACTACCATGTTCCGATACTATCTAACCTGAATTCCAATTCTTATGAACATGATCGTATACAATTACATCAGTTTCTGGTTTAAGAGGTTTTAGGTCTTTGGCATTTACACATCCTACTCATAAGTAACTGCGAAGGACTATAATCTAAATATTTGAGCGGAGAATTTCGATACTCAAGCAACATGGTCTCGACATCACCGGTATTCTGCAATGATTTTTTAATTATCTTTTTTCCTATTGCTACCCCTTTTTCAGCAAGACCATTGGAACGTGGATAGTTAGGACTACGTGTTATAATACCAAAATTCCATGCACTAGCAAATTCTTTAAATTTATAACTATTGAAAGGGACATTATCACATACTACCACATTTGGAGAACCAAATCTAGCTAATACACTCTTAAATTCAGCTATTACAGATGTATTGGACTTATCTCTAATATGCAACAATTCCAACCAATTAGAATATGAATAAAAAATTATTAAAAAAGTTTTATCTCCATAAGTAAATAAGTCTAAACCTAACCTTTGCCAAGGCCTGTGCGGTATCGGATACAACTGCAAACTTTCTTTTTGTTGTCTGTTGGAAACCGATTCACAAACTTTACATTTTTTTACAAAATTTTCAATATCTATAGATATGTTTGCCCAATATAAAATTTGTCTCGCTCTTGCTTTTGTTTTTTCAATTCCAAGATGTGCATCATGAAGTAATTTTAACATATCTCGAAGTAAAACATATGGCACCACAATTTTATTTGACATAAAAATTACGTTGTTCGAAACTACTAGATTTTCTCTAATTTTAAAATAATGTTTAATAGTATCAGGAATTTCATGTTTATTTACAGGCCAACCTGTTTGACAATATTCCAAAAATAATTTTAATTGTTGGTCATTTATTGTACAATTCTTAAATTGAGTTTTACGTTCTTCTGACATTGGAATATTTTTTTCTAGGGTATGTATTACATACTCTAATTCTAAATCAGGTCTAGGCGAATTTTCTGTTAGATATGCACGAGATAAGGTATCGGCTATATATAAGTATTTACCTGGTTTGTATTCAACTGTAAGATTATATTTCAAAAGGCGAAGTCGCATTCGTTGTAATCTCGGACTAATGTCTGCAAGACTTTTTTGAAAAATAGAAACTAAAGGTTTGTGATCTGTTTTTACTGGGACATTTTTTAACCCATAGATAAAAAAATGAAATTTTTCTGCTGCAAAACAAATACCTAACATTTCCTTCTCTATCTGTGCATAATTTTGTTCTGCAGAAGTCATGCTTCTAGATACAAAAGCAACTGGATGACCATCTTGAAGTAGACAAGCTCCAAGACCACTTTTAGATGCATCAGTTTATATTTCAAATGTTTTTAATGGATTTGCAAAGACAAGAACAGGAGCTGTAGTTAATAAATGCTTGAGTTGTTTTAAGGACCCGTTATGAAATTCTGTCCATTCCCATGAAACATCTAACCTCGTCAAATTTCTTAAAGGAGCTGTTACTTTAGACATATTAGGGACAAATTTACCTAAGTACTTGGCCATTCCTAGAATTCTTAACAACTCTGTTTTATTAGTCGATATAGGCATGTTCACTATAGCTTTAACAAGGTCATCATTGGCTTTGATGCCATCTTTCGAATATATTTGCCCCATAAACTTAACATTTTTTGACTCAAATTGTACTTTATTTTTGTTAAATTTAATGTTATACTTGAGAGCTCGCTCAAACACCAACATTAGATTATTGTCATGTTCAGCTTCGGTAGACCCTGTAATAATTAGATCGTCATAATACAAACCAACACCCTCTAAATCACCAAAAATTTCATATATTTTCTTTTGAAATACTTCCGGTGCTGAACATAATCCAAAAGGTAACCTACAAAATTGGTATCTCTCAAATGGTGTACCGAACGTGCAATAATCTGAACTTTCATTATCGATTTTTATTTGAAAATACCCATCCTTCATGTCTAGTACTGTAAAGAATGATTTACCAACTAACTTCGTAGATATTTCGTTTGCAGTTGGTATCAGAAAGTGCTCTGTTTGTATACACTGATTTAAAAATTTTGGATCTAAACAAAGACGTAAATCTGAATTTTTTTTCTCAACTATTACTAGAGGATTTAACCATGCAGTCGGTTTGTCGACTTTACAAATCACACCTTGCGATTCTAATTTTGACAATTTATTTTTTAAACGCTCATGAAGTGCATTCGGTATCCTTCTCATTGGCTGAATAAGGCGAATTGCACTCGGTTTCAGGGTTATGTGGTGTTGACGTGGAAATTCCCCTAAGCCTTCAAAAACAGTGGCATAATCTTTGACAATTCTTTCCAACGTCAAAGCATTTGTACCTATACTCGCTAATCTCTTAATTAAATTTAAGTTAATACAATCTTGTAAACCAAGTTAACGGTAGCTGATCATTTGAGTCTACTACCATAAAATTTACATTCGCTACATTTTGATTGACTTTGCACACTAAGGATACTTCCCCAAGAGGCTTTATTTTAAACTTAGAACTTCCATATGATACTAACCTAATATTGGTTTGTTTCATTTTAGACTTATCATTTAAAACATTAACCACACTAATAGGCACAACACTTACTTCGGCGCCTGTATCCAACTTAAATAGAATTTCTTTACCTCCAACATGTACTCTCTGGATCCACTCCTTTGAATTTCTATTTTCTTTCTTCTCTTCTCTTTCCAAATTACTTGGACGAACTGTGTGGATGAAGAACTCGCTCTCAGACACACTCTCTCCGCTATCATTTGTGGTCTCCTCAGTCACCTGGTGTACATTTTTCTTTTCTGTCTCCTGGCAAGTTTTTTCTTTTTCTTTGACTTCTCGCTTACAAATATTCGCGAAGTGATTTTTTCCTTGGCAATTCGCACAAGTTTTACCAAAAGCGGGGCAGTTGCCTGTCTTCATGTGTTTATATCCACAAAACTTACATATTACTTTGTCAGCATTAAAAGATTTTTTGTATTTCAATGCACTTACTGGTATTTCATTCTGTAAAATTTTAGACTGGGATCTGCTAGCTTCTGATGATCTGCAATTATCTATTGCTTTAGTTAACGTAAGGCTGGGTTCCCGTAACAACGTTTCCTGCACTGTTTTGTCGAGGATTCCCATCACAATTCTGTCTCTGATCATTTCATCCGGCTGTGCATACTCTGTAGTTTTTACTGCTTTTCTTAATTCTGTCAAAAAACTGTCGAAGGATTGTCCTTCTTTCTGTGTTACACTGTTGAACTTATATCTTTCAAATATTATATTTTTCTTAGGAGCACAATATTCCTCAAATTTGTTTTTTATACCTTCTAGCGTCTTCTCTTCTTCACTAATCGTAAACGTGTTATACAGCTCTATTCCTCCATCTCCTATCAGGTTTAGGAATGTGGCTACTTTCTTCTTTTCAGGTTTATCACACAAGTCTGAAGCCTCCATAAATA